GAGTTCTGCTGCTAACCAAAAAATCGGCAGTTCGAATCCACCAGGTGCTCCCTGGAAACCCTATGGGGCAGTTCTCCTCTGCCCTATAGGGTCGCTATGAGTCGGTATCAACTTGACGGCCATGGGTATATGTGAATTTATAAATGTAAATTATATATATCAGTGGGTATATGTGAATTTATAAATACAAATATTCATAGGTATAAATTATATGTATTAAAAAATTAAGTGAGCACCTAACCAGAAACTTTACACAAAAATAAATTCCAGAAAGATTAGAGTTAAACGTAAGAAAATGAAGGGGAAAAAAAAAAAATCTATCACGAAATGTAGGTAAAGCAAGAAAGCAGAAGAATAAACCCTAAGGGAGAAAGTAATTGATAAATTGCTGTAAATAAACACATAAAGCTTCTATATATAAAACAAAACAAAACAAAATGAACAACAACAACAAAAAAACGTTTGATGAAACCAAAGTCATAATTAAACAGCAAGTGATTAACTGGGAAAATATTTGTAACATACATAGCAGCGAGAGGACTAATATTCCTAATATTAGTAAAAAGTTCCTGAAAATCAGTACGAAGACGATGAACACTTCAATGAAAAAATGGACACAGATCAGGAGCAGTCCATCAAAGAACATTTTCAGTCCTTGTCTTAGCGTCACTGGATAGTTTGGACCCCACCCTCTTTCAAACATTCTGGTCCCTTGGGTTTCCTGACACTCTGGTTTTCCTCCCGTCTCTCTGGCTACTTCTCTGTCTTCTTTGTTAGTTTCTCTTCTACCTGGCCTCTAGGTATTGGAGTTTCCTAAGACCAAAGGCTCTTCTCTTCTCATGCTGTAATTTCACTGTTAGCATGCTATCTCTGCCAGTGGCTTCAGTGATGGTCCACGTGCATGTGATTTACACACTTATTTCTCCAGCCCACGCTTCTCCTCTGCGCTCCAGATGCATGTATCCAACTCTCTACTTAACTCTCCACTTGAGTGATGTCTCAAAAGCACCTCAAACCCAAAACGTCTAAAACTGAACTAATGAACTTCCCTCCAAAATCAGATTATCTTCCAGAGCACCAGCTCTCAGATTACCACCTTGGAGTAATCATTGACACTTTTTTCTCCTTTAAACAAAAACCCATTACCGTCGAGTTGATTCTGACTCATGGTGATCCCATGTGTTCCAGTGTAGAACTGCTCCATAGGGTTTTCTTGACTGTATGTTTACAGAAGCAATTTGCCAGGCCTTTCTTCCATGAAGTGCTGTATGGGTTTGAACTGCCAACCTTTAGGTTAGTGGTCGAGCACAAACCGTTTGTGCCACTCGGAGATCTTTTCTCTCCTTACCTGCTCCCCAAATACGTTTCATCCCTGAGTCTTGACATTTTTATATCTTAAATGTTTCTCAAACTTGTCCACTTCTCTTCATCTTGACCACCACCATTGTCCTTCTCTAAACGATTATCAGGGCTACCGTGAACAGTTACGAAGGTTGTGTCATGCACAAGGGCATCAGGATGTGGGGGCAAGTGGGACCTGAAATCCAGCCCACAATCTGTTCATCAAGGTATGTGCCCAGGTGAGGGCTGCAGTGCCTTTTTCTAATTTCCACAAAGATACCATGTGGGCTAGTGGCAAGCTTGGCTACCACCTTCTTTTGCCTGGACTACTGTGGTAACCTCCTGTTGTCTCAGTTTCCACTTATGCTCTCTCTCCAGTTTATTTTCCCTTGCCACCAGAAGGATGTTTCTGTTTTGTTTTTTATTGTTGTACTTTAAGTTAAAGTTTACAATTCAAGTTAGTCTCATACGGAAGTTTATACATACATTGTTATGTGATCCTAGTTGCTCTCCCTATACTGTGACAGCACACTCCTCCTTTCCACCCTGGATTTCCCGTGTCCATTCAACCAGCTCCTGACCCTCTCTGTCTTCTCATCTCACCTCCGGACAGGAGCTGCCCATCTGGTCTCATGTATCTACTTGAACTAAGAAGCACGCTCTTAGCCCAGTCTAATCTTTGTCTGAAGAGTTGGCCTTGGGAATGGTTTTAGTTCTGGGTTGACAGAGAGTCTGGGGGCCATGCTTTCTGGGGATCCTCCAGTCTCAGTCAGAACATTAAGTCTGGGCTTTTTACTAGAATTTGAGTTCTGTACCCCACTTTTCTCCTGCTCCCTCAGGGACTGTCTGTTGTGTTCCCTGTCAAGAAGGATGTTTTTGAATAAGAGAGCTGATCATGTTATCATTTGGCTTAAAATACATCATTGGTTTTCCATTTTTCCTGGAATAAAGACCTTCCATAACTTGGCATCCATTGATACCACTCTTCTCAAGGTCATAATGACCTCTAGGTGGCCAAACCCAATGGCCACTCTTTTGTCCTTATCTATTTGATTTCTAGCAGTATTTGATGCAGTTCACCACTCCTGCCTTCTGGAAACATTGTATTTTTTTTACTTCCATGACTTCACACTTATATTTTGCTGGCTACATCCTCTCAGTTTGCTTTGCTAGCTTTTCTGCCTCTCCTGGATTTCTAAATGTTGGAGGGCTTTAGGGCTTGACCTTGGACCCCCTTATCTTCTCTAACTACATTCACTCCGTAGGGCTTCTTATCCATTCCATGACTTTAAAATCACTGTTTGCTGGCAACTCCCAACACAGTACTGACAAATCAATATTTGTTGAATATGAAAGTGGAAAAGCAGGTATTAAACATTATATATAAGATGATCTCAATTTTAATTTTCAGAAAATGAATGTGTGTGTGTATGGGTACACACAAAATATCAGCAGTATGTTTTCAGAGGCTATCTTTGAATGATGCAATTATGACTTTTTTTTTCTTTGTACTTTTCAGTATTTTCCAGTTTTTCTATGATGTACACATACTGGTTTTATAATGAGAAAAATTACTTTCTCATCTCTTCTGACTGTGTGTTGTGCCAGCTGAGTGAAGGTGACAGTGTGGTCAGTGGGAGGCAGGGTTCATAATGAAGGTTTCTTGGAGAACTACAGACTGTTGAATTGAGTATCCATTCTAACTTGAACCTTAGACAGGAATCTGGACCCAGTAATCTTCCTGGGATGCTCACTAGCCCTGCTCTGGGCAGAAGCCCATCCCTCCAGTGTTCCTTCAGACCCACCTTTTTTGCCTGCTCTGACCAGCTGCTTATGGTCCTCAGGATCCCATGATGCTTAGCTCTACCCTTCAGTTCGCATACTCACTTCAGGCCCTTTTCCTCAGACAGTCACTTTGTTGGGTTTTTTTTTTAATTGTACTTTAGGTGAAGGTTTACAGAACAAATAGTTTCTCATTACACAGTCAGTACGCATATTGTTTTATGACATTGGTTAACAAACCCACAACGTGTCAACACTCTCCCTTGTCGAACTTGGAGGACCTTTTCTCCTTTTGGTGAAAATATACATAGCCAAAGATACACCATTTCAAAAATTTCTAC